GTAGTCGTTCTCACTCAATATTTTCCATCACCATTCACATTAAAGAAGTTACTCCGGAGGGGGAAGAGATGATAAAGTGTGGAAAGCTGAATCTTGTTGATCTAGCTGGGTCAGAGAACATTTCGCGTTCTGGAGCACGAGAGGTATGGAAGGAAGGCCTATGATGGGGACATCACTTTTGTTAAAATACTTATAGGAGTGAAATGTCTATCTGCAGTATTCACGACTGACTAGGTAGCATTTCAGAACTGTAATTAAAATTGAATGTATAAATGCTTTTGGTACAGGGTAGAGCAAGGGAAGCAGGAGAGATTAATAAAAGCTTGCTTACACTTGGTCGTGTGATAAATGCTCTTGTCGAACATTCTGGCCATATACCTTATAGGTATGACTATGCAAGAAGTGAGCTAACTGTATCTACGGTTTGTTTGTTTTTAATTGTAGTGTTTGGTCGGCTAAACGTTATTGTAAATATTTGCTTGGAATCTCAGGGACAGCAAATTAACAAGACTACTGAGGGATTCACTGGGAGGCAAAACAAAGACATGCATTATTGCTACTGTATCACCATCTATTCAGTGTTTGGAAGAAACACTCAGTACACTAGATTACGCACATCGTGCCAAGAATATTAAAAACAAGCCAGAGGTTAGTGTTTCTCTGATCCTTCTTGATTGATAGTTTGATACAGTTCAAACTTCTTCTCGTTGCAACATTCATTTACATGTTGGTTGGCTACCATTTCCAGATCAATCAGAAGATGATGAAATCTGCCATGATCAAGGATCTGTACTCTGAAATTGACCGATTGAAGCAAGGTATTTGGTTCTTCCACAATTTCCTGAAAGATTTCCCACAATTTGTGCTGAAATCGATTTTGAGCTTATTTGATTTCTCTGCATCTTATCAGAGGTTTATGCTGCGAGAGAGAAAAATGGTATCTATATCCCACGAGATCGCTATCTGCAAGAAGAAGCTGAAAAGAAGGTGTGCGCCTTGTCTAAATTTTAATTGATAAATAATTTGGTGTGACTTTTCACTATCTCAATATTACTGTTTATAAATGCAGGCCATGGCAGAAAAAATAGAGCACATGGAAATGAATTCAGAGTCTAAAGACAAGGTATCTTTAATGATACTACATTTCTTGCATTACTACTTTGGGAAAATGGAAAATAATCTGTTTGTTTTTATCATGCGACCAGCAATTGATGGAGCTTCAGGATCTCTACAATTCTCAACTTAATTTGACAGCAGACCTGTCTGAGAATCTTGACAAAACGAAGGTACTTACAAATTGTTGGACATGAATATATACTCATTTTCTTCCTAAAATGGTAGAGTGGTATCTTGCTTGGTGGATGTTCTGAAGATATTTGTTTTCTCTAAATCCAGAGGAAACTTGAAGAAACTGAAGATTCTTTGTCAGATCTTGAAGAGAAACACAGACAGGCAAATGCAACAATAAAGGAGAAAGAGTTCTTGATATATAATCTTCTGAAATCTGGTTCGCATACACTTTCTTTCATTTCATCTTTCTCTTCCATTAAAGCATCACCTGGAATATGGGCGATTATTTTGAGAGATAGTTAAAGGACCCTTTCCCATCTCTTAGATGCCTTAAGATCCAAGCCTGTTATTTTTTAATATTATAACAACGCATACCAATTCTCACGTTTTCCGGCAACAAGACAGCTGGTGGCAACATGATTGTTTGAGAGGCTGAAGCTTTATTATCTGTATGATTCAGAGAAAGCATTGGTGGAACGTGCAGTTGAGCTGAGGGCAGAACTTGAAAGTGCTGCATTGGATGTATCCAGTCTATTCTCCAAAATTGGTATGCATTGGATGATCATTGACGTGAAAAATTGGTTGTCTAGTCTTCCTAGTTGTTTCCGCTTACTAATACCAGTTGTCCTTCAGAGCGGAAAGATAAAATTGAAGATGGAAATAGAGTCCTTGTTCAGAAGTTCCAGTCCCAATTGACCCAGCAGCTAGAGATTTTGCATAAGACTGTGGCATCCTCAGTCACCCAACAAGAGGCACAACTGAAGGACATGGAAGAAGATATGCATTCTTTCGTGTCAACCAAGGCTGAGGTAAGAGCCAAAGTGCAATACTTGTCTTGTTTCTTCATGCATAAGTACCACAAGTCTGAACAAATCTCTGATTATGACATCCATTACTCAGGCTACTGAGGAACTTCGTGGAAGGGTTGGCAAGCTGAAAATTATGTATGGATCAAGGATCAAAGCATTGGATGATATGGCAGAACAGCTTGAAGGAAATTCTCAATCAACCTTTTCCAATCTAAACTCTGAAGTATCTAAGCATTCACACGCCCTCGAAGATGTAAGTATCTCGTTTAACTGCTTTCGTTGGAGTTAGCCTTATCTTGCACGATTTTTGTTAACCATCATCTCTGTTGACAATTCAGCTCTTCCATGGAATATCATCAGAGGCTGATGCATTACTTAATGATCTCCAAAGCAGTCTACACAAACAGGAGGAAAAGCTTACAGCCTATGCACAACAGCAGCGCGAGGTATGGACTCAAGTCATTTGTTGTTTTTTTTTTTTTTTGTTTAATTTAGAAGTGTTACGTAGATAGTATAGAAAATTCTAGTTCCTTATTGATCATGTTTCTTTTGTTAATGAATCACAATTCACAGGCACATTCCAGAGCAGTGGAAACTGCACGATCAGTCTCCAAAATTACAGTCAATTTTTTCAACACTCTGGATTCTCATGCTTCCAGCCTGAACCACATTGTGGAAGAAGCACAATCTGTAAATGATAAGAAGTTGTCCGATCTAGAAAAGAAATTCGAGGTGGTTACTTTAAGCACTGTTTTTGTTTGTAGGATGTGAAGGCTTCCTTTTTTTTTAACATTAATGTATTCATTTTCATCATTAGGAGTGTGCTGCTAACGAGGAAAAGCAATTGTTAGAGAAAGTGGCAGACCTTTTGGCAACTTCAAACCAAAGGAAGAAGAAACTGGTATGTCCTGCTTTCCTGCACAAGTTTTCACATAGTGCAATCTTTACTTAGTTGTCGAAGAAACACTCTCTGGTGGTTTTGAAACTAACAACTCAGAGAATGCGTTCCTCAAGGTTCAAATGGCTGTCCATGATCTACGGGAGAGTGCTAACAGTAGAACCAGAAAACTGCAGCAAGAAATGTCCACCATGCAAGATTCAACATCTACAATCAAAGCAGAATGGACGGTCCATATGGACAAAACAGAATCGAACTACCGTGAGGATACATCTGCTGTGGAGAATGGAAAGGAAGACTTGGAATCAGTCCTTCACAACTGGTATACATGGGGCAAAAGAAGATTTTTTTTTCTTGTTGCTCTTATTAAGTTGCATTGTTTGCAGGTACTAAGTTGATGATTTCTGTTTCACTTGTGGTTTTATTAGTATGGACATGACTCAAATGGGTGCACAACAGTGGAAGAATGCCCAAGAGTCGTTGCTTCACCTAGAAAAGACGAATGTTGCATCCGTTGATTCCATTGTCAGGTACTCAGCTCTTCCATATGTAGCGGGTGTACGTTGGTTTTTCGATTGTAATTGCTCTAACTAGTTGGGTGTCCGATTCTGAATTGAAGGGGAGGAATGGAAGCGAATCAAGCCCTACGTACAAAGTTTTCATCAGCTGTATCAGCTGCACTCGAAGATGCAGATGTGGCCAACAATGATCTCCTTTCCTCCATTGATAGTGAGTTTACCTAATATAGCAACATATTGCATTTCTGGAGTAACTTACCATCTCGTTGTAGTAGAAAACCCAACATGATGTTTCCTGTGGCAGACGCACTGAAACTCGACCGTGATGCATGTGGGAATATGAATGCCATGATCGGGCCATGTTGCGAGGATTTAAGGGAATTAAAGGGTGGTCATCACCACAAGGTAGTGGAGATCACTGACCATGCCGGGAAATGCCTTCTGGAAGAATACACGGTACATAATCAATCTAAACCTCCATCTTTGTAGCGCAATTCATTTCGTTTAATGTCCTCGTCAACAAAAAGGTACTGAACTTTTGTTGGCACAGGTGGATGAACCATCTTGTTCAACACCGAGGAAGCGGGGATTCAACCTGCCGAGCATTGGTTCAATCGAGGAGCTCAGAACTCCTGCATTCGAGGAGCTGCTGAGATCATTCAGATCTGCAAAGCAGCATCACCTGCAGCTATCCAATGGAGACATCAACAAGAACGTCGCCGCTGCTGTGGGAACCGGAACCTATGAGTCCGCTAATAACAATTCCCCGCAGTCACTGAGAGACTCCAGAGTTCCTCTCACTGCTATCAACTGAAGCAGGGAGCCAACTTTAGGAGGATAGATATATCAAAGCAGACTTCCCTTCTCCATTCTTTTGGTGGCGAAGGAAGCGATGCAGGTGGCGATCTCTGTGTGTGTGTGTTCTATGTACAGAAAGACATACATTCATTTTGTGTGGCCTGGTGCTGAGTGTGGTCTACTTGAAGTATATATTACAGAGAGAGAGAGAGAGAGTTTTGATTGATTCATTGGGTAATATTATTGATTGGTTTTTCTGTTCGTTGGTAACACTCTTTCCTCCCAAGTTTTTTGGGGTGAATTCATGTGTACTACAAGGCACGCCAAAACATATGCGGTTGTCGTGGTTGGCGCTAGAGTTAATCACAGACACAGTGGGCAATGAAATGATGGAAAACTGCTCCCCCTTCCTTTTGTTTGGCTTCTGTCTTTGTGATGATGAATCATGAAACCGACCGTTAGTTGTCGTGTCATGTCCATCTGTAAGTTTCAAGTTGTATGTTTCAAGTTGTATGTATGACTTCATAACTTAAAAGTTAAAACACAAAAGTCGACCGAAACAATATGAACACTTAGCCTTGAGATTTGAATTCAGGGTATGGTGATATTATTCACGTATTACCACTACGTTAACTCATCAAATCAGTTGATTAAACGATACGAACACTTCGCCTTGAGGTTCGAATTCAGGGTATGGTAATATTATTCTCATATTACCACTATGCTAACACTTCGCCTTGAGGTTTGAACACTTCGCCATTGGGGATGCTACATTGAGGAAGTCGTCTCCATCTAAGGGAAGTTTACTTTCTCTCTTTCTCGTCCCCTGTGTCAGTTTCGCATCCTTTTGCTCCTCGGAGCTTTTTCAGAGCTGCCCACCTTGTGGCAAAAAAGGCTCTTTTATCGGGAGTCCGGTTGCATACGGGCTACCGTTCTTGAGTATTGTTAGTGAATTATATTTGTTGTTCGGCCATGCCCTGGGGGCTTATCTTGGATAAAAATAAAAAAAAATAAAAAAAAAATCGTCAAATCAGTTAATTAAAGCTTACTACATGAGTACACGGAGACTGCCGAATGGGGGGGGGGGGGGGGGGGGGGGGGGGGGGGGGGGGGGGGGGGGGGGGGGGGTAATTGGACTCTTTCATTTCTCAGACAATACAGAGGCTAAGTAACAACTATGCTATTGAACAAAAGCAGAGGACGAAAAGGTCATTTATGAGAGGGTAAAAAGATACAAGGTAACAAAAGGACCATTTTTTTATCCTGTTTCCTCACTAGGAACCAAAAAAAAAAAAAAAAATAGACATGCCTTGTTGTGGAGTGGAGGCCAGCCTAACTAACGCAGTAGCTCTCCTCCATGGACGAGTAGAACGACCACTTTTAACACCTGCCAACCACAAACATAAAATGCACTCAGAATACAGAAACTATCATCTGGGATCAAGCATAAAGTAGGTGCACCAAAGGAGTTGAAAATAGTACCTGAGATGTCGTTTCCTCAGTCACAAACTTGAACTCAATAGCCCACCAGGAGGTTCTCCAAAATTCTCGTCGTCGAAATCCTGATCTGTCGAGTTCTCGTGACATCTTAACTTGGGGTGGTCTTGATGAGGAGGAACATCTAGGCTGCTGAGGGCATCCCAAACCATCGAATGGTGGTGGTCTTGTAGCATGTTGCCACCATGCTCCGGCAAATGACCGGCATCCACAACATCATCCTGTCTCAAGTCACCAAAATTAACATCGTCTCTTCTTCCATCATCATCATCCACACCACCAGGAGGGTCGACATTCAGATCGGAAGAACCCGGTTCAAATAATCCAGATTGGTTACCGACACCAGTACCATTAAGCCCCTCTAAACTGACCCCAACTTCTTGCTCGCTTGACTGATCGGCAGCAGGATCCTTCTTTTGCCTCTTCCACTTTTTGGTGGATGAAGTGCCATCATCTTCAAAATCTTCTTCCTCTCTCTCCCTGTGCAAGTAAACCCACAGCTTCCTATCACCATCGAACTGGACACAAGGATCGCGTTCGTAATGCAACCTATCCAATGCACCACTCACAACTTGATTCACTTGGGCATCCGAGACATCCTCAACAACAAACTGAGAATCCCTGATCAGAGTGCACACATCAGCTCTAGTTCCAATACTGCCGGGCAATCTGGCAGCCGCATCTCTCACGAGGCAGAGAATTGTGACATGAGGAGGCCGATCGCGCTTCAGCATGAAATGGTCTCTCGCTTTCGAAGTCGGCTTACCTCCGCACCTTCTCAACGGTGCAACAATTGACTTCCGACCATCTGCAGCCGTGTATGAGAACGCCCTGTCGGGGATCGAGTACCTCAAGACTTCTTCTTTCCTGAAGTAAGTCCTTACTTCTTCTGAGCTTGGGTTGATTGTGCTGAGACTCTTCTGAGCTCTCAAGTCCCTGAATCTTTCCTTCTCATCCAAGCTAGTCTGCATCATAGATAGAGGTGGCTCGGGGAGACTTCCAATCTGTTGAAGCGTCTCTTGACCACTTTTTAGCCAGTTTGCAAAAGAATCCACCAGCTTGACCAGCATTTTGTGTGGCAGGCCCCAATATTCAGGAGATGTAACCTCCTCATCGGCGGCCTCCTGATCTGCTGAATTATTATTTTGAGAAACTGGACCAACCCAAGACCAGGATTTTGTTTCCTTCTCATACATGACAAGCGCCTTCCAACCTTTTGCTCCAAGAGGAGCAGATCTCGAGGAAAATATCTTAAGAACCCCTCTGACCAAGTCCTGGAGTGGCTCCTGAGTCTCGAGAATACAAGGGTCGCCTGGATTTGATCTCACAAGGTTGACAATCTCCTGAACCGTTAGAGAAGGGACATTTGAACGAGCAGGGGCATCTAGGTTCTCAGGAGAGACAAACCCATTAGTTGTACCACCGTCTTCATCATGCGGTCTGTTCTCCTGAATAGGTCTTGTCACAACCTCCAAGGAGTCCTCAGGAAGAGGAGTGATCATTGCCGATCGAACTGCAGAAAGTAGGTGGACAATCGAAAACGAGAAGCATGTATGAACAGTAGGTGTGATTGGTATGTAAGGTTTTTTCTGTGGTTTTATTTCCACCACCTCCACTTCTGGCAATTTGATTTCAGGTGGCTCTTGGGTTTCTAGATCAGCAGCAGCTACACTTTCAATCCTTGCTTTCTTTTTCGCCTTTTTCTTCAATGGAACAACAGGGTCATCCAGTTTTTGCATTTCAAGGGCAGTAGACTCCATATTTACATCCTCCTCTCTACCATCCGTTGCTTCCACTTTTACCGCCCGTTTCTTTGTTACGGTGTTGCATGCTAGTAATGAGACGTCCGACTTGCTATGATTATTATGGACACGAGGTTCGGTTTTATGTCCCTTCTTCCCCAATCGAATTACTGCCTTTTCATCTACTGCTAACATTTGAGCTTCTTCATACTTTCCATCCTCTTCATCAACACTGTAATCATGGCTCTCAAGAGCTTTCTGATTTCTTTCTGAAGGATTGGACTTCAGAGAGAGCATTCGCACCCTGTCATTAGAGTCACCACGGGATCTTCCTCCATTCTTTCCCAACTTATGGGCTCCCTTTCTGTTGCTGTCCATCATTCTGGCATCAGAACTGTCCAATGGACTGCTGTCATGCATCTTTCCTTTGTGTTTAGCTCTTGACAGATGTCCTGAAACATGACCAATGTCATCATCAAGCACATCCACATTCTTGGACAAATATGGTACTCCCTCAAATGCATTTGAATTTTCTTGGACATCGGGGCTAGTAACATAGCTGCCGGCCCTTCTAGCAACTGACCTGGACTTTGAGAAGGAAGATTTAGAAGTCTCCATCCCTTGGGAGTACAAGGACTTGTTATGAATCAAAGGAGTGTTATCCTCTTCCTCATCACCTTCATCAAAGTCTTGGGACGAATCTGATTCTGTGTCTTCACCTCGCATGTACATTCCCTTACCTCTTGCTGTTGTTCCCTTGACATGTGCCCCATTATGTACAAAATTTCTCCTGGCCTTCTCACGTAATGGTCTCTCTCTCATTTCAGAAAGAAGAATTCTATCGTTCAAATGAGAGGAAGCTCCATAACCTCTGGAGTTAAAATCAGGGGAGTCCCGCCCTGGTTTTCGTTTCTTACTTCTGATATTGAACTCGTCGTATTTAGATGACGAATCCATGGGGAAAGCCTGTTCATATCTATTGTTATGCCAGATGAGTTCAGAAGCATTCAATGAGTCAACTCGGTTTCCTTTCAGAGGCATCTCTTCACCTCGGATTTTCAGGTGATTCATCTTATCACCGTAAGGAAACTGCTGAAAGGTTTCAGAATACTTCATCTTTTTACCCATTTGATGTTCAGAACTTCGGACATGAGGTGGCTTAGTGAACATTTCCTCTACTGGCTGCCGGCTAGTATTTCTGTGCTTACCATAGGCATTGATATCATTCTGCAAAGAAAAGGGTGAACCCATGAAACTGTCATCACCTAAATTATTTCTTCTCGGTCGCTGCTTATTCCTTCCCAGCTTCAGACCTCTGGACTTGTCGATCACATTACCATGTGCCATAATACGATCTTGTTTGGCACCAACTAGATGCATTGCCTCGTCATTATCTTCATAGTCATCATAATCAAAACTATCACGTATTCTAATCTGATCCTGTAGCCGCAGGGCAGGCCCAGCTGATTCATAAGCAGCATGTTTATTCTGACGACGAAGGGGCACTGGCAACCCATATGCCTTGGTATTCATTTCCATACCATCATAATGAGAAGGAATAGGACTCCTCATATCTCTAAAAGATGGTGGTGCTTTCGACCCAGCTAACTTGAGCATACCCTTCAAACTCTGTTTCCCATACTTCGCCAGTTCCTTTTGTGGCACAATACGCGAAGAAAAATCTGGAGTTGAGGCAAGCATGTGTAGAGAGTTGCGATTCAGTTTCAAAGCACCTTTTCTGTCCTTGGCCCCTTTATCCCACAAAGTATTATCACCTGATTCCAGTTTCTCAGATGAGTCACTGACAATATCTTCATCCATCTTGCCATACAACAAACTCTTTTGACTCTTCATTATCTTCAGAACCCTAAGCTTATCGTCAATGCTATACCCCCTACATGTAAGCCAAGCATCCCTTATCTCACACAGATTGCTAACCAAATTATTCTGATAGTTGCGAAGAAGATGATAGTGCTGTCTCTTTTGGAAAAAAGTCAAACCCTCTTTATAAAGAGCAACCCTAGGTTCACACAACCCTCCTTTTAGCATCTGAAACAGCATCTTCATAGGGCTGCCGAAATGGACATTCGTACCTTCAAAGAGCTCTTTAAGAGTTTGCATACAAGTGAGCTCGTCCATGTCAGGCAAGTACTTGGTCAGGCTAACCCTTTCCTCTTCAGACAGGACATCATTCCACACATCCACAGACAGTATATCTTCCAACCCTGAAAGATCATACAACTCGAAAGGAACACTGCAAGTCAGATCACCAATTTGACAAAACTCGGCCCCAGTATCCCCCAACTCCAACAAGTCGAAATCGTCTGATCCCGCCCCTGAATCCGCATCATCAAATTCATCATCGTCGCCTTCGTCATCTGATTCAGCTGCAGACACCTTCCGGTGAAGCTCATTGTCATCACCATCATCACCACCATTATCATCACTGGACATACTTCCCCTGCTATTGGGTGAAGAGTCTGGATCAAACCGAGACACCTTAAAGTTGTTCTTCTCAATCGCCATCACTCCCTAAATCAGAAAACACAGCTCCCCTAAAACTCCTCCCCGAATCAACAACAAACAGCTCCACCACACCCACTACCACACTGTACACGCACACCTACAGAATTTATCCAGCCAAAAATAGCATCAACACCCGAGCCAAAAAAAATAATACCACGAAGCCTCCAATTCAATTGAAAACCCTAGACAACAACAACAACAACAACAAACAAAAAAACAGGGAATCGATAATAAAACCGGAGCCCGGAGGAGCTAGCTCACCAGACATCGCAAATCCGAAAAATTCAAAAACAATATAAGAAGCGAGAATTCGAAAGCAGATCGAAATTGGATTGGAGTCGGTACCTCGTCGTCGTTGGGAGGAAGCAATAAGCAATTCGGAGCTCGACGTGGAAAGAAGGATGGAAATTATGTGGTTGGCAGGGAGCGAATCTGGAGAAACCCTAGGAGGAGAGAGGAGGAGGCAGTTAACCGAATTGCAAGGGGAAAAAAGTAAAGCGAGAAGGAAAGGGAGAGAAAGAAGGAAGAAGATGACAGGGAGGAACAAGGAAGAGAAGGGTGGAGAAGACGATGATGACGTGGATGGGCTGGGACCGTCTGATATTCGGGTGGAGAACAAAAGACGAAAATGGGCACGGCCAAGAAGAAAGAAAGAGAAGGAATGCGCCGCGCAGGCGCAGGCAAGGAAGGAAGGGAGGGTTTGGTCGTGTGAGAAGGAGATGGGGGCGGGCGGGGAAAGAGGTGACGAGTTGACTCAGTTGGGGAAGAAGGAGGTGAGTCAGGAACTCGGCCATGATGATCCGGTTGGGGCAGTTCGGGCAGGGTGGAACCAAGATTTTGCAGGCATTAAAGTTTATCAAAACAATATAAGGAAAATTATATTTAATATTACGATATATGGTTAAAATAACTCAAAATACCATCTAAACTCAGTAGCGGAGGACTCATCCTGTCTCGGAAGAAAATTGGTTAAATTAGGTACAATAGTTAATTGATGTCGAAAAATTGGGGACTAATTGATAATAATTAATGGAGAGGTCTTATGTTTAGATCTTTGCGATCTCATTTCTTAAGCACACGGTATTCCGATTATGGCAAACTTCAATTCTGTGTAATCTGACTTTCTTATGAGGGTACTAGTAAATGGTATAAAATATAGTATTGAATCTATCCTTACAACTCGATTTATTGATATTAAACGTTTCTTAACAAAGAACATCATTCGAAAGCGAATGACTAACTTAATTGTGAATTATTGTTTTGTGTAACATTCATTATCAAACTTTTATGAACAATTCGAGTTATTGATAGTAAACGATTCTTGACAAAGAACATCATTTTAAAGAGAACGACTAAGTAAATTATTAATAATTATTTGGTACACATAGTGATAATCTTGATAGTTTCGATTACTAATATATTTTAATTAACCAAAATTTTCCAATATAATATTATATCATGAAAGTTAACAAAAAAATTATTTTATAATGTGTATTTTTTTCTAAGTGGACCCACATTAGACCAAATACTGGCTACGTCAATGTCTAAACTATAAATTTTTAGCATGATAGGTTCAATATAATAAATTATATGATTTAAAAAATACGTTTAAATTTACACTTAGGCACGCCTAGACGCTAGACAAAGACAAAACACATTTCAATATTATGTAAATCATCATATTTTCAAAATTATAAAAATGAATATATACTTATAATAGCATTTGAAAAATAATTTATTCATTATCCGCCACAAAATATTCTTAAAATTTTGTAAAGTTGAAAAGGTTAATTTTTAGGATTAAAAGGTAATGGGTTTAAGTTTATTTTCTATTTTTGAGATAATGATGTGGAAAACAAAAAAATCAATTGTTATTATTTTTTATTGTCACGTCACATATTTAACAGTCTACTATAACAGTTGATTGTCACATCAGATCAAGTTAGCACATGGTATTCAAACTTGTACAAATTTAGACGACTTTCAATATTAAACACATGGCATTCAAACTTGTACAAATTTCAAACTCATATCTACTAAACTTATATCATTGACCACATTCTCTTCCACCGTTTACAATGGCCGCGACCAAAGATCCATACAAGATATGTTATTTCCAATCCTCAACATCGCTCACCAATTCACAATTGAACCCAAATCTAAGGTATTGATGAGTGTTGTTTTCTGAGTGAGCTTTATCCGCTTTTGTAGTTGGCATGTTGGACCAAGTGTTAATTTGTTAAAAAATTGGTCGAAGGCAGTTGAACACGTTGTTGACCAGTTTTAGATCGAAAGCGAGTTTTGTACGCTTTATTTATTTTTATTTCTCATTTTCCTTTTCATTGAGAATGACAATTGAACTTTGACCCATTATTGACGCGTTTCGTATCGAGAGTGAGTTTTATCCGCTTTCGTAATTGACAGGTTGGGTAAATTGTGAATTTGTTAAAACTGGGTCGACCCGTTCAAAGCGAGTTGAACGCAATGTTGAGAGTTTGGGGTCGTGAGCGAGTTTTATCCGCTTTAGTATATATTTTTTTTACCCTTTTCCTTTTGGTTGAGAATGACAATTGAGTCCAAACTCATACGTATAACGTATCCAACCTAATTCGACCCGACCAAATCGATTTGAACGCGATTGTACAGGTTTTCGGCGGGAGTGAGTTTTATCTGTTTTTTAATTGGCGGGTTGTGCCAGTGTGAATTTTCCCAAAACTCGGTTCAACCAGGTCAAAGCGAGTTGAACCTGGTGTTGACGAGTTTTGAATCGGTAGCGATTTTTAGCTTTAGTGTTTTTCATTTCTCTTTTTCTTTTTGTTTGAGAAAGACAATTGGACCCAAATCCATAGGTATCCAACCTAATTTGACCCGATCCATGCGAGTTGAACCTTCTCAAACCTGCAATCAGTCCAAAATTTTCATAAAGGAGAACCACGATCACCTCAAACCCAAAAAAAAGAAAGCCAAAAGAGTACGATTATGTTTGGCCCGAATTTTAGAAGGTTTATGTTTCAAAAGTTGAAGTCAAGCCAAACACCTCTAAAGTTTCGCTTTTTCAAAAGTTGAAACTTTTCGTAACTTAAAAGCAGAAGTTTCGATTTGAAAATACATAATTGTCACCATATATTATTCTTTTTCCAGAAAATATAATTTTTTTTCATTTATATCATTATAAAATATAAATTGAAAACTAATATCATTTAATATAAAATAAATCTAACGTGATCCATTTTAAGTACTTTTTCATTTGTAGAAATTGTATTCATATTCTATGTTAGAAATATTTTTAGTCATTTTACATTATCTCTTATATTAGAAAGTAATTATGATAGTTTTTCAGCTAAACACACAATTATTTTTGTAATACTTATTGAAAAGATCCAGACAAGCTGCTTCATTCTACAAAAGTTACAGCAGGATCAACTACTAGCCATACAATTTGAAACAATAGCGTCATGAAAGAAGTTTAAACATAAATAATATATTCGATGACCCTTCTACCTTATGCAAGTTCATCGATCATATGCTATTGTAAATAACAAATCATATACTTTCACTTTTGGGTCAACATTAAAATTATTACTCATTAAAATATTTATTTTTCTGATACGCGAAACGATAGCAAACGAGATTTTGCTAGTACATTATATTAGTCAGTTGGTGGCGGAAGGAACAATTTAGCTTCTATACGAGGCAACAGAAGACGAGACAACATATGTGTTAATTAAGGCTGGAGGTTCGAGTAGATATTGGTACCTATCTTTCAAATTGCGGAGAAACCAAAATCAATTTGAGAGCTGCTATTTTTTATTGAAGCTTTGAGAGAAGCTATTAGTTGTGTGTATCATTAATTTCATTATATACTAGCGTGGGCCCCGGCCATTTGGCCGGAGGAAGTTGAGGTATGAAATTTAATAATGTAATGGGATGTATAGCTTATTGTTGTATAGTTTTTTTTTTTGGAAACGCGTGATAAAAATAGTGAATTTTAGTAGGAAAGAAACATGAATGATGCAACAAATAAAAAATCAGCCTTATGAACCAAAATCAAGTACCTGTTACCTTGTCAAACAATATTGTTTCTGGTAATATGATGAGGTGGAGTAAGTTTTATAGAAACCGAATTCCAAAAAATCAAATAAAAAATCGCCTATCCCGCCGGTTTTCGGAAAATGAGCATCTCACAATCGTTGCTAGCTTTTACTCGGCCCGTTGGCCGATTAATTTGCTTTATAAAACTTTCATCTTGTCGTCATTGTGCTTTCTGGTTTTTTGCCAAGCCATGATAAAATCTAAAATCAAGAATGAACAACACGATTTGGGATAGGAACCACCGTTCCTGTATCCCTAGAAAATGGTGGTAAACACGGACTCACCTGCCAAACTGGTTTGGATTGAGATTTTTATTGGGTATCAGGGAACCATGTGATTATAAATTAGACTTGATCAAAACGGGCCAAAACTTGAAATTCAGCCTGTTTGACCGACCCATGCAAACTCTAACTATTCTTTACTTTTAAACTTTCTAATTTGGATTTTCGAAAAGAAACTGAAAATGTTTAGGATCATTTTAATGTAAAATATAACCAAATAGATCTTTCTGTTTAGTTTTTTACTAACAAATAAAAAACGATTCCCTATAATATACACTATAATTTAATCATTATGATATCAAATAATTACATATTATATATTTGAAATGATAAAAATTGGACTAATTGGGTTGGTCGAGGTTAAACCATTGAATAATTTTAAAATACATTATATTTTAGCCACTAAGATATGAAATAATAGCATAATATATATTATGATAGAGAAAATAGCTTATTTTAGAATAGCAAACCCATGATGTTCATTTGTTTTACTTGATGGGAAAATCCCGTGTAGATCAGGCCAATTCAACTCTTTTATTTTATGATTAGCGGTTAGCCATTAGAAGCCATGCATTAGTTTATTGTTATTTTTTTTCTTTTTAGCAATAAAAAGGAGTATTGTTTTTGCCTTTTCATATATTTTTACCACCACGGAGAAATAAAAGGACGTAAAAAAAATTGACATTCCTGAACCCGTTTAAATCGGCATGTGTACGGTAAGTTGGCCAGTTCCACAGAGGAAAAAAGAAAAAAAATTGACACTCCCTATTCTACCCTTCATACAAACACTCCTGGAGCAGGGAATTTGAAATGGGGGAAGGGTTTTTTCCTCTCTGCGATTATATGTTTTTAATTTAAAAAGTTACAACAAATGTACTTAGTGTGATTGGTTATGATCTTTGCTTTTCTTTAAAGTGGTCATGGGTCGAATCCTAGTAAGTGTCTTTTTAATGAATCAAAAAAAGTAATTGTGAAGACCAAAATGTTCTTCCTACTTGTTATGATCTTTGATTTTCTTTAAAGTGGTCATGGGTCGAATCCTAGTAAGTGTCTTTTTAATGAATAAAAAAAAAGTAATTGTGAAGACCAAAATGTCCTTCCTACTGTAACATCCCGAACCTTTTCCCGACGAAGATATTGCAATTCAAGGTGACTTCCCATAAGGTCACTCATTATTGTTGTACTCCACACTGAGAACGTTTAACTTCGGAGTTCTCAGAAGAACTCCTCCATTACACCACAAAACGCGTCTTGTCAGTTAAGGCCGGTTTCCTACTTATGAACCATGGATCTCTCCCATGCTTTGTCGATGTGGGATTTGCCTAAGGTTTTACATGCCTCCCCCCCTTGGGACTCAACGCCCTCATTGAGGTTTGCCCCACCATCGTTCAAGAGGGACGCGGAGAGGCTCTGATACCACTTGTAACATCCCGAACCTTTTCCCGACGAAGATATTGTCCGCTTTGGGCTTCGACCCTCACGGTTTTTGACTTGGGGTGCAATTCAAGGTGACTCCCCAAAAGGTTATCCATCCTTGTTGTACTCCACACTGAGCACGTTTAACTTCGGAGTTCTCAGAAAAACTCCTCCATTACACCCCAAAACGCGTCTTGTCAGTTAAAGTCGGTTTCCTACTTATGAACCATGAATCTCTCTCGTGCTTTGTCGATGTGGGATTTGCCTAAGGTGTTACACCTACTTTCACTCTGGATGCATGAAATTTGAAATGGGGCTTCAATTTTTCTCATTTGGCTTTTATTTATTGTGTAGAAATAGCCCGTAGGTATGTAGTTAGGATTTTTTTTAGTAACCTATATAAACCGTATAATGATTTACAGAAACCCTCAAATCCAAAATATACACACAAAAAAAGACAGATTTAATCATCATCGTAGACAAGTATCACATTTAAAATATCACGTTAAAAATTCCAACGATTTAATTTATGGATCTCTTATTTTGAAAATCATATATCTGAGTCTCATTGATTTCTTGAAAAAAATCTTATTTTTCTCCTTTCCGAATGATATTTTAACTTAATTATCATAAAGCATTCCGCCTCAACAACTCGAGTTATTGGGAGAGATCCATGTATGTATTTTAACCACATCCTCTTACACACCCTCTCAAACGAATTCTAACTCATGGGTTTGGATGCACATAATAGTCATACCATGTGTTCGTGAAAATTTGAATTGTAACTCGAGTTATTGGGAGAGATCCATGTATGTATTTTAACCACATCCTCTTACACACCCTCTCAAACGAATTCTAACTCATGGGTTTGGATGCACATAATAATCATACCATGTGTTCGTGAAAATTTGAATTGTAACTCGAGTTGTTGGGAGAGGTTCAATCGTGGATCATATACCACAACACTAACACGCCCCCTCAAACGAAAGCCACTCACAAGGGCTTGAAGTTTGCACAGGTCTGAAGACAAGAATACCATGTGCTTAACAAATGGGGTCACCGGGAATCGAACACAAGACCTCTCGATCACAGAAGGCTCTGATACCATGTCAAGAACCAGTTGGTCCCAATAACTCGAGTTATTGGAAGAGGTTCAATCGTGAATCATATACCACAACACTAACACAAACCACATGCATGGATCGGTAAAAAGGAAAAAAAACAAACAAACCATGTGTAAGGGGTTGAACTCACATACGTATTGGTCCGCAACTCCGCATTGATCTATGAAACAAAACGTATATTTAGACGAACCCTGTAATCTAGACTTCAACTTACTGTTTGTCCTTAAACACAAACATAGACAGATGATAATTTAGGTCCTTTTTAACCTTAAAATTAGGGATGACAATTTCGACCTGACCCGTTTTACCCGACCTGTTTGACCTGTTTTGGGGCGGGTCCGACCCGCCCCGTAGGCGGGGCGGGGCGGGCATGGGTAGTCTTATCGACCCGACCTGCCCTGACCCGCCCCATTCTCGACCCGTTCTTGTCTAAATTACATGTAATCTTAGTCAAATTACTTAGAATTTTCCTTTTATTGCATCATGTTTTAGCTATAATAAAGTTGTAAATTAGTAAAAACTTCAATTTCTCCAATAATTTAACTACAATTGTCATAATATTGTTTGTTTTCTTAGTCTTATAATAAAAATAACGAATATTTCTAATGTTTTTCATATAAATTGCATACCCATTGGGTCGACCTGCCCCAACCCACGACCCGTGATCAATTACCCGACCTGCCACGGGGCAGGTCTGGGTACCAAGAAACCCGCCCCGCACCTGCCCCATTGCCATTCCTACTTAAAATACATAATATTAATAATAAAAGAAATTGGCAATTCATCCAGCAGTTAATTATAAGCAGCCACCTTTCCCCACAACGTTCGGATCATCACCAAAGCCGAATTGCGAGGGAGCTAAATCATTTGCGTACCTCGCTCACTCTCTCTCCTTAACATATACAAAAAAGAGGGGGTTTCTTCCTTGTCTCTCTCTTCTCTCTCTCTAATGGCATCCATAGGGAGCAAGAAAGAACGGCGACCGTCGTCGCTATCCTCGCCGGGGATGGGGCTGGACAGCGTGGAGATCGACAAGATGGCCGACGTGCCCATCAACGACAGCACGCCGCCCAGCAAGCCGAACCTGCCGAGGATGTCCGTGGACCTGGGCAAGCCCTCCGCCGCCGGCGGCGGCGGCCTCGGGCGAACTGCGAGCAATTTCGGGGAGTCGTTCCGGAGGACGACGAGCAACTTCGGAAACTTCGGGATTTCGTTCAGGAGGACGACCAGCAGCGCGCTGAAGAAGACGGCGGGGATCCTGCCCGGCGGTGGGGGCAAGACCCCGCCGGCCTCTGGGAGGCAGCAGCGGGTGCAGAGAACGGCGTCGTCCGCCGCGAGAGGGCTCCAGTCCCTGAGGTTTCTCGACCGGACGACGACCGGAAGGGAGACGGATGCTTGGCGGGCGATCGAGCGGCGGTTTGATCAGTATGCTGTTGATGGGAGGCTGGCTAAGGAGCACTTCGCCGCCTGCATTGGTGATTATTAATTGAATATAATAATTAAATCTTTCGTTTCGTCGTTTTGTGGATTACATCATTTTTCTACGTTGATTGATTAATAATGCATGCATATGCATGCATGCTTGCGTGATTGTTGATAGGAATGGCGGATTCGACGGAATTTGCGTCGGAGCTGTTCGAGGCGATTGCGAGGCGGAAGTTCATACCGACGGCCGGCGGGATAACGAAAGATCAATTGAAGGTGTTTTGGGAGGACATGACCAAACAGGATCTTGATGCTCGTCTCCAGATTTTCTTTGACATGTACGTATATCATTATATCAACCTACTTATTTCCCCTTTTCTGTTCTTCTTTCGCCTGCAAACATATAAGAAAATCAGGCAAGAATCATATAATTATACTATTTGAACCATGAAATAAGGTTTGCTGCCAGATTCGGTTAAACAAGTTACGCACATAACTACATAATTCGCAAGGATTTCAACAATCTTGTTGTTATACAATCTCTATTTTAGATTGAAACGTTAATCTTAATAACTTGATCATTCGTAAATATATTACAACTCATGCAATTACGTATATAATCTTTATATCCCATAGTGAGCTATCATATATTTCTCAACACCTTAACTTCAAAATCTCGTTTGATTGATTTCCCTTAATTTCCATTTTCCAATATGTCCTTTCTTTCAAATTTGAGCAACTTTTCATGCAAACCCTAATTATGTGTTCCTATAGATGTTTCAAAAGTCCCACTCCTTCATTTCCCTTCAGTTTACTCATTTCGTTGAGACTTACTTTACGTGTATTCATTTTCTTACTTGTATTGCTTTTAGGTGTGACAAGAATGGAGATGGTAAACTTTCCGAAAATGAAGTTAAAGAGGTGAGCAAACCACTAAGTGAATGGAGGGGGGAAGAATATAATCCTCCTCAACAGAAAAAAAAATATGATACATAAAGGCGGTATATTTGTTTTCCAATTTTACATGTCGACCTACAAAGAACAACTAAATTCCATCTTTAGTCTGGAATTTTGGTATGGATTGAAATGTTTTTTGCTAGTTAACATTTTTTTTAACCAACCGAACCGATCCAGGTCATACTCATGAGCGCATCCGCCAACAAGCTAACAAAACTGAAAGAAAACGCGGCCACGTACTCAGCACTGATAATGGACGAGATGGACCCGGACCACAAGGGCTACATCGAGATCTGGCAGCTGGAGGCCCTCCTCTGCGGGATGGTCAACCAAGACAGCTCCGCCGAGGAGGCCAGCACCAAGATGAACCGCCACGCCAAATCATTAGCCCGAGCCATGATCCCGAGCTGCTACCGCTCCCCAGTCAGCCGCTTCTTCACCCACGCCACCGAGTACGTCCACGAGAACTGGAAAGTCATCTGGATCCTCGCCCTGTGGGCCGCGGTCAACGCCTACCTCTTCCAGTGGAAGTTCTTCGCCTTCGTCGGCACCCCGCTGTTTCAAATCTCCGGGTACTGCCTCTGCATCGCCAAGGCCACCGCCGAGACCATCAAGTTCAACATGGCACTCATCCTCGTCCCGGTCTGCCGCCGGACCCTCACCTCCCTCCGGTCCACCGTCATGGGCCGGTTCATCCCGTTCGACGACAACATCAACTTCCACAAGGTCATTTCCGTCGCCGTGGCAGTCGCCTCGTTGGTCCACACAGTGGCACACGTGGCGTGCAACTACCCGCTCCTCGCGTCATGCCCTAAGGACAGGTTCGACTCCTTGGTCGGGAAAGCGTTCGACTACCACCAGCCGACGTATGGGGCTCTGATGGAGCATTCCATAAGCGTCACCGGGGTTCTGATGGATTTGATCATGGCGTTCTCGTTCACGCTGGCGACGCACTCGTTTCGGAGGAACGTGGTGAAGCTACCCGGGATGTTTCATAACTTGGCTGGGTTTAATGCGTTCTGGTATGCTCACCATTTGCTTGCCGTGGCCTATGTTCTGCTCTTCTTGCATGGCTGGTTCTTGCTCACCGAGAAGCCTTGGTACGAGAAGACGGTACGTGCATAACCAATATTCATTTAAGAAAGTTTCATGACACACCCTAAGTCTAAGTCTGGTAATAATCGTGAGAACGGATTGAGAAATCGACAATGAAAGAAAGTAAAGAGCACATAAATTTAGGCATGTGTTAGTGAATAACATGCAGCAAGAGAGAGACCAAACACTATACGTGAAAATATACAGATTACAGAAATTGAGAATATATATATGACACCTTCAATGGACTAGCCCTAAACCAACATAGAAAGAAAAATGTTATCAACATGCCTGACACATTTAAACAAGAGAATATAAGCCCATACATCCCCAATAAACACTGGATAACCTGTCTTCAAGTCATGGCAAAAATAACCTTATATCTTAATCCTGTGATGGTATTTTTTACGTTGATGCAGACGTGGATGTATATAGGTGGTCCAGTGACTTTGTATGCCTTAGAAAGAGTGTTTCTATCATACAGGGAGCGCACAGAGCCGGTCACCATAATTAAGGTTGGTCCTCAACATTTGATTAAATTACTCGTTCAATTTTTTTTAAATGTGCTTAATTTTGGGAGTGGTGCATGCAGGCAGTTATATACTCGGGAAATGTTCTGGCATTGTACATGACAAAACCCATGGGTTTCAAGTACAAGAGTGGAATGTACATCTTCGTTAAGTGCCCCAACATCTCCAGCTTCGAATGGTACGTATGTATATTAATGAAAAATTTGATTAATAGTTTCAATGTTGTCTCTTATTAACATGTTGGAATTGGAACTATATATAGGCATCCTTTCTCAATAACATCGGCACCGGATGATGACTACTTGAGCGTCCACATAAGAACACTAGGTGACTGGACGACGGAAATGAAGACCATATTCGCCAAAGTTTGCGAGCCTCCCCAGGAAGCGAAACCCAGATCAATGAACCTGATGAGAATGGAGACCAGAAACGTGTCCGACTCTAACTACAAGGAAATACAGAAGACGTACGTAGGTTTAAACAAAACTTAAGTAGCAAGACTGTTTAACATCGCCGTAAATGAAAGCTATTTAACTGTTTGTTGTAGGTTTCCGACGATCCTTGTGAAAGGCCCATTCGGGGCCCCGGCCCAGAACTACAACAAGTACGACATATTGCTGCTGGTAGGGTTAGGGATTGGAGCCACTCCTTTTGTCAGCATCATAAAGGACCTCCTCAATGGGCTTAGACCAATGAAGCCAGTAAGCCCGGCCCATTTAACTTACAACTCTGCTTCAATTTATTGATGAATTGGTAGTGACGTGGCTCTTGCATGCATGCTTGCTTGCAGGGTGAGTTTTCAGTGGAGCAAGCGTCCAAGAAGTACCCGGAGAGAGCCTACTTCTATTGGGTGACCAGAGAACAGGCGTCGTTTGAATGGTTCAAGGGCGTGATGGACGACATTGCGGAGTACGATCGGAATGTGGGTTTTCCATACTGCACTTTGTTTTTTATATTCTTTCTGTTTCTTGTATGTGGAGAACTGGTCGTGACAACAATGCATGCAGCATATAATTGAGATGCACAATTACCTGACCAGCGTGTACGAGGAAGGAGACGCCCGGTCGGCACTCATTGCCATGGTTCAGAAGCTTCAGCATGCCAAAAACGGTGTTGATATTGTCTCCCAGAGTCGAGTATGTACCTCGTTTTTTTTTATCATATTCAACAGGGAAATGTGTCAAAATTTAATCCAAGCTTTGTTTATGGCTACGTACAGATAAGAACACACTTCGCAAGACCCAACTGGAAAAGGGTTTTCTCGGATTTGGAGAAGGCACATCCATCTTCTCATATAGGTATATGTGTGTGTAGTCTTTCTTTTGTTCTCTAATATTCTGTGGTTTTGGTTTCTTTGTTTTTCTTCAATTTGTGTGGATTTGAAATGCAGGGGTGTTCTACTGCGGGAGTGTGGCCTTAGTGAAGACATTAAGGGAACTCTGCCAGGATTTCAGTCTGAATTCAACAACCCGGTTCCATTTCCACAAGGAGAACTTCTAAGAGACATTAGTTCTGTCCATCGTAGTTCTTCATGATTTATTCTCTATTAATGTATTAAACTTGCAAAGTAAGTGGAAGATTCTCGTAATTAATCACCCTGCTGTGAAAGGGACGTAGACAACACTTCTAAGTGTAATTTGTTTTTCTTTAGGGGTACTTTAGAATTTTGTATATCCAATAGGAGTAGTCATTTGGTCAGTGAAAAATGAGATACACATACGGTTATTTAATTTGTTCTATCCTAGGTTAGGATATCCAGTTTCATGCATCTTGGGTTGCATGGTCTTTGCGTCCGACTCTTCACTTGACGTGAGTTTTGGGTTGTTGTGCCTCAAGCACAGGCCCAACCTGTGCCGGATACACTCTCGCAAGTTGAACAATGTATGTCACTAATATTTAATTTGGATACTGAAAACAAAACCCGTCAACTCTCCGACTTTTGGTGCAGAGATTTGCTAGTTGAACGTGATGCGACATCACGAGAAACTACTCGCGCTCCCAAATAAAGAAATCATATATGTACTTAGTGTGCTCATTAAAGATAAGGTTATTAGTGATATATACATGCAAGACAATCTAATTATATTATGAGGAGTTGGACCAGACTAAGATATATACACAAAATTCACCAAGTAATCAACGAAACTAGAGCAACTCACTAACCACCTAAAAGAGTTACTACTAGAAAAAACAACAGTATCACGATTCCTTGTTAAAAAAATATTTATTGAGAGGGAAATTAAGATATTAAATTTCTGCCAACATAACTCGAAAAACCAACCCCTCAACAACATAACGAACCTAAAAAGGTATAAAATTCGAACATAAATTACTTATTTTTTGCGACCCATTGCAAGACCACATTCATTCAAATGGGGAAAGCAACATAAGCTAAGTTGTCGTTGCAACTACAAGTGGTGAATCTTGCGTTATGGGACACACCATCGACAATTGATAAAGCTATTCCCTTTTATTCTTATCACAAACCAAACCTGCTATAGCGCGCAATCAATTTTATTAATGTTAGCCCAATGCTATGAAACATTATCTGCCATGATTTTTTTACGATCTCACATTCCGCTCTCTCTACATTTACGAAATAAAAGCATGTAGAAAGCGATTTCTGAACCATCCCCACAAGTTGTGGGATCCTCACGCATAGAACATCATCAATCCCTTGTGGACGAGAGACGATCGACTCCAAAGTTAACTAGAACAAATTCCAAATGTTGTTATTGTCTTGAATTTTTCCTCACAAAGCATGCCAACGGTTCACAATACACAAATCTTGACGTTCGAATTCTTGTGTGCAAATATTCGGTTTGAAAACAAAAGCTACGTGAATAACAATACCACACTTACTTGTAAGGAAAGTATGCTAGAATTCTGATTGAAGTTTTGATTCACTGAATTGAAGGAAGAAAAACGTACAGAGTTCAGCTAGTGAAGCTGATTTTATACTCTGGTTTATAGAGTTGAACGAAGGGAAAAACCGTTGTAACAACCTAGCTAATTTACATTATAGGTCCTAATTACATTCTACCTTTACCGAACTAATCCTAAGCTATTTGGTTATTTACAAAATGGTCCTTATTGTCTAATACCCCCCCCCCCCCCCCCCCCCCCCCCCCCCCCCCGCGCAAGCTAAGCGTGGGTGGACTTCAGGTTTCGCTTGGAGATGAGGTCAATAAAAGTGTGTACAAGCAACGGTTTGGTGAAGGGATCAGCTAGCTGGAGTGTCGTGGAGATGTGTTGAACCTTTAATTTCCCAGCAAAAACTTGGTCTCGAGTAAAGTGGCAGTCTACTTCAATGTGCTTGGTTCGTTCGTGCTGGACAAGGTTCTCTGTCATTTTGATAGCAGAGAGACTATCATAGTAGATGGTGTATGGAAGCAGAGGTTGAACTGGAAGTTGATGGAAGAGTGTTGTCATCCATTGAAGCTCCTAGGATGTGTCCGCCAATGCCCTGTATTCCGCTTCTGTTGAGGATCGCGAAATGGTTTGTTGTTTCTTCGAGCGCCAACTGATCAATGAATTACCTAAAAACACACAAAACCCAGTTACCGATCTCCTAGTATCTGGACATCCAGTCCAATATGAATCAGAGAAGGCCGTGAGTCGTGTAGAAGAGTTAGAAGAAAAGAACAATCATCTGTCAGGAGTAGTTTTTAGAAATCGAAGGAGTCTTGAGTAACTTGTTCGTGTGCTGAAGTAGGAGAATCAACAAACTGAGTTAGTTGATTTACAGTGTAACATATGCCAGGTCGTGTATTGCATAGATACTGTAATCGACCTATGAGTTTTCTGTAACTGCTATGATCATGTTCATTCAAAGGAGTACCATCATGAGCAGAAAGATGAGTGGCAGGAATGGAAGGAGTAGTAGCAGGTTTAGAAGCTAGAAAGCCTATATCAGACAACAAATCAAGTGTATATTTGCGTTGACACAAGTGATTTCTAGTATCTGATCTTGAAACTTACATTCCAAGGAAGTATTTTAATTTACCAAGGTCTTTGATTGTGAAAGCAATATCCAATTGTTTTTTTACATAATTGATTTCATCCATCTTGTTTCCAGTGAGTATAATGTCATTGACATATACTAGAAGAGCTGTGAATGATTGGCCAGAGTATTTGGTGAATAGAGAGTAGTCACTGTGGATTTTTGGTAGGCAATAGTTTCTAAGGTGGCTGCAAGTTTTTCAAACCACTGTCGACTAGCTTGTTTTAAGCCATATAGTGATTTTGTAAGTTTGCAGACCTTGTGTTGATCTGATGGGTGAACCTGCAATCCTGGAGGTAGTTTCATATACACATCTTCGTGTAAATCACCATGGAGGAATGCTGTGTTGACATCTAATTGCTCCAGATTTCATTTGTAAATTGATGCTAGAGCTAAAAGGATCCTCACTGTGGTCATTTTCACAACAGGTGAAAAGGTGTCCATGTAATCTACTCCAGGTGTCTGAGTATAACCTTTGGCTACTAGGCATGCTTTGTATTTGTCTATTGTCCTATCTTGTTTGAATTTGAGTCTGAAAACCCATTTGTTTCCAATGATAGGAACATTAGGAGGGGGATCTACTAGAACCCAGGTTGTAGTTTTCTCAAGAGATGCAAACTCTGAATTCACAGCTGCTAGCCATTCTTTGCTTTTTGCAGCTTCTTTGTAAGTTTTTGGTTCTCTGATTTGAGTGATAGCAAGTGCAAAGTGTCGATGAGTAGGACTCAGTGATCGATATGTGAGTATAGTTTGAATAGGATATGAAACAGATGAGAGTAAAGAAGCTTGACTGATCAGATTACATATGTAGTCATTCAGTTTAGCAGGTTTGACAATTTGTCTAGTAGACCTTCTTAATTGAGGTTGTTCAACAGGTATTGGATCAATGAGAGGGTGAGAAGTAACTGGAACATCAATGGCCGGGATTGTTGAAGGTGGAGAAGGTAAAGGAAGTGGTGAAGGAATGGTGTGTGCTTTAGTGAAGTCCAGGTCTGCAGAGACTTCTGGAAAAACTGGAAGAGGAACTGAAGGGTTCAAATTATGATTGACCTGATGAAAAGGAAAGATTGTTTCATGAAAAGAAACATCACATGATATAAAAATGTTGTGAGTGGTTAGATTGTATAATCTGAACCCTTTTGTTCCAAGAGGATGACCTAGGAAAACACAAGGGTTTGATCTATGATCCAGTTTAGATCTGGTGGCTTGAATAGTTGCAGCATATGTAAAACAACCAAAAACTTTCAAATGATTCAGAGTAGGAGGAGAACCATGAAGTTTTCAAAAGGCATAAGGTTTCGTAAAAAGGGAGTGGGAGTTCTGTTGATGAGATGAACAACATGCATTGCTGAAAAATTCCAGAACTGAGATGGAAGTGAAGCTTGAAAGAGTAAAGCTCTAGTAACTGCTAGTATATGTTGGTGTTTCCTTTCAATGATACCATTCTGTTGAGAAGTGTAAACACATGTAGTTTGATGAATAGTTCCTTTGGAACTGTAAAAATCTGGGATTTGGAACTCAAGGCCATTGTCAGTCCTAATGGCTTTAACTTTGCTGTGAAATTGAGTCTCAACAAAAGCAAAAAATGAAATGATAATGGGACGAGCCTCAGATTTAGATTTCATAGTGAAAATCCAAGTGTGTCTACTATTGTCATCTACTATAGTCAAAAAGTATGAGTGACCCTGAATAGAAGTGACAGGGGCATTTCCCCAAATGTCAACATGTAAAACATCAAAGGGACATTCTGTTTTTCTGATACAAGAAGGAAAATGAAGCCTTTTCTATTTTGCCTTGGGACAAACAGTACAATGGAAATCAGAAAGTGCAGTAATGGAATTGTCTAAACAATGAAAATTTCTGATTTTGCTTGCTGGAATATGGCCAAGCCTGTAGTGACATATGTCAATAGATTGCTATGTTGTTGAAAAAGCCACTGTGGTGGAGACTTGTGGAGTTGTGTTAAGAATGAGATTATGTTGAAGTTGTGCAGTTTGAGATGGATGATGGAGTATGTACAGACCATCAACAAGACTAGCTGTTCCAATCATTGTCAAACTGGGGTAGGTCTGGATAAAACACAGGGAATAATGGAACCACAAGCAGATTGTAGTACTTCTAACTAGTCTGCTAACAGATACCAAATTAAAAGTAAAAGAAGGAACAAGCAGAACATCAAGTAAAACCAGATGATCTGAGTACTTAACAGTGCCTATAGCTGTAACAGACACTTTGCTACCATTAGGCATATGAACATAAGTGTTATGAACTAGTTTTGAATGTAAAAAATGATCGGGGAGAACATATAATATGATCTGTAGCTCTAGTGTCTAGAATCCATTTATCATTGAGTAAGCAATTCACATTCATAGCATAACGAATGATATCTGATTGTCCAGTGGTTTCAAAACCGTGAGAGACAACAGAATTTGCTCTGCTAATCATGTTCTGCTTACCAGAGCCCTCACCGTCATTAGAAGCTGAATAATGTGTTGGGTTATTAGCATTATAAGCTTTTTGAAAATTGGATGGTGGCTGATAGTGCTGCTGCTGTGGAGCAGAAAATTGAGGTGGTGGGGTGTTCTGCTGTAGAGAAGTGGGTTGCTGAGAGTAAGGCTGCATGAGATGAAGCATCCTTTGATAGTTCTGCTGGAAGCTTTGCCAGTCAAACTGATTTATCATCACTGCTCCATTGGAATTTTGAGCAAGATCAGTAGAAATACTATTTACCTGTCGAGGAGGTTGTTGCTTCTTTTTGGACCAGGAGGGTAACCATTCTTCTTATAGCATATATCCTCTGTGTGACCAGTGTAGCCACAAAAGGTGCAAACAAGCTTCTTGCCTTGTTTCTTGAAGCCTTGGCCAATGCCCTGAATACCCAAATGTTGTCCTACAGCTTTAGTAAAGAAAGCCATGCTATCTCCAGTAGAAGGAGGATGAGTCTGTGGTTTAGGCAGCAAACCATTCTCCCTTTTGTGTTGCACCATCATAGCAAACACTTTGTTAATGGGAGGCAATGGATCTAGAAGCATGACTGTGGAACGAGGCCCA